TTTATTTCTCATGATCAGCACACTGGAGTGTTTGAGGTGAAATCGTGTACATACATATGATAAATAATTCACCCTCTAACCAATTTTTATCAAACTGAACTGTTGTGCTAATTCAGCTAGAAACTTTGTGGGCGATTGATTTATTTTAAAGGAGTTCTCACCACGCATCGATATCGCTCAGAGAACTATTGAAACGTGAGGAGACATGGACAACTGACTTGTTGTAGCTAAAAACTCATTAGTGTAAACCATTACTTCATTCAGTGTTGAAGTCACGATAGTTCGGTTCAGTGATAAGCAGATTAAAAACTCGGTCACTGAGTTGAAATCCAGCGATTCATGAACCCAATTTCTTCAAAGTGTGTTATATTGTCATTGTTTTGTTACCGTTTTCGGCTGGTCTAGAATTATCAATAACTAAGAATTACCATAAATGTACAGAAAACTTAATGGCTGTATTGAGTAAACTAATGCAGATAGCATGTGCATTATGATCTTGAATTTGCTATTTGATGACTGTCTTGTGAGTTAAGGTAACTCACTGACGTCAAATATCAAGTCTTGTAAGCAGATACATTAAAATTCTTGAATAATCTACTGATTTGTAAGCAGCCAACCGTTGATTCTTTGGATCCTACTTATGAGTCTGCATACTAGCACAAGGTCCAAGTAAAATCTTTATATATTCACTGAATTACGGTTAATGATACTATTTATCATTAGTGGTTTCTGTATTTATCATTTCAATGGACTATTGACACAGTTCTTATCAATGCGAAAATGAAGTCTAGATGTAAATCCACTTGACTGATGTATTAGGAGGATGAAGACCATCATTTAATGAAGCTGGATGGGAAGCTGAAAGCTTTTATCCACTGTATCAGAGAAAAAGGAGCTGCTATTTGGTCATAAAACTCTTTGAAATAAATTGATATTCGTTTTCCTTTCTTTGATGTCACCAATAACTAACTATATTTTGCAGTATGTTTTTTTCTTTCTCTGGTAGGTGACTGAAACAACAATATTACGTACTGACCATTATTTTCTTACTCAAACATAGTGCAATACCGTATGCATAAGGATACTGATTTTCATTCTGTAGTATCAGAGGTAGTCAGTTTAGCTCTATTAAAGAAAAAAAGTTGCCAAACTACTGAAATTTGTCGAATTCAGCTTTGCTCAACATCCTACCTGCCTTCCACATAGGTAAGAAATTAAGTCTAATGAAGCTCATGGGTATAATTGATGATACATCATAAATAGACTGACTTAGAAATCCTTGGAAATACTAAAATTCGTCTGATAGTTTATTGGAAAATCGATGCAGTAAATGAGGGTGAAGCTTAGTCCAAAGAGGTAAAAAGAACTTTGGACTGTTTATTGTCTGCTGAATACCATTTTAAACAAATGATAAAAGAATGTAAATCTGCTTAACTCTCAGAGGCTTTGATACCAAACGATTCAAAAGGCTTAGAAATAATCTGAGAAGCTATTTCATTTAGTAAAATAGTCTTCGCACACTTAACTGCCTCTTATTCTTAGAATAAACAGAATTGATTAAATAAGTAGGAGTATCTAAAACAAAATACATTTGCAAATACGTTTGTTTCTCTTGTCTGACTTCCTTTTTCCTACCAATTACTTGAAGCTTTATAACAATAGGTAGGCTGTTTTATAATTTTCCTCTATATCTGTGTCTATTTTTATGATTGGTATATTTTTTGTGGTCATTTGGTTTGGTGTTTTGTTTAGAAGGTGGAATCGATACTGGTTTCCTTCATAATGCATATTTTATAAAGTGATAATATTATCTCTGCTCAATAATACTCATTCTTTAATGGTGAATAGGATTGAGGATTATTTGTTTCTCTCCTTCATCGTGTTATATTTATTGAAAGCTGGAGGATCTATAAATGCTGCATTTGAACTAATGGAAGCCTAGGTTTTTATCAGTTTTACAACTGATGTTCGTTTGTGATGAATATCACCTTGAAATTGACCAATTCTGGCAAAATCTCCAAACTGAAATACTACCCAGTACTTATTGGTGATATGATGTGAGATGAGATGTCACGATGTTCTAATGAGAAGTCATGACCTTTAGGGAAAACCAAGTTGGATGTGAGGACAAATACTCAAAGATAGCACTGGATGATAGTCGTACTATGTAGATATACAAACAGAAGTAAGAAAAATTAGACGACTAGATTCTGACCGATTACCGATTGGACCAATGGTTAATGTGCTCACCACAATATCGGATAGTCCCTAGTCAGACCCCTTTACATGGTCATGGGTGCGCACTTCTCAGGAATCCCATACTAAGACAAAACAGCTGTCCAGTGTTATCCGATTTTCACTGGTGCTACCCCTGATGCTGAATGATGACGAATACTTCCTTGAACTCCTTATTCCACTTTGTTAAAAACGGTAACAACGATGACAATGATAATAATTGGTATTAACCATATAAAAAATGAATTACCCAAAGGAACGAATCTTTTGAAGTTTATTCGTTTCATTTCATGAGACTACGTGGTAAATTTACTTCTGAATTATCTTATAACCTTCCACTATCACTTATTCCCAGCAATGGTAATTTCCAGGATCAAATTGCTTAACTCCCTAGAAGTGAAGTTATAGACCTCATCGTTGAAAAAATTAAAAGGCGAATGGAAAAGGATAAAAATAGGATGTAATAAATTTAAAATTTCAGTAAACCGCTCAGAGAAATAAGCCATATACCTTATTATATGCCCTGTAGTGCAATTAAGGCATACATACATACATACATACATGCATACATAGCACTAACCTACACATTAATCGGGAAGTAGTAGCATGGAAATGAACAAATTTCAGTTGATTCATCACCAGTTTCAAATCAATATGGAATAAGAAATATTTTCAGTTGTTACACATATAAGAGAAACTGATGACCAGATAGCCACGTAACTATTTTCTGCAGGTTTTGATGCTGTAAATTTCACTTTACTCCAGGGGATCTTGTTTTGTGATGTGTGTTTTGACAATCATAAATTGAGACTTATCTGTGACCAATAAAATGTGGTACAGGTGTCAGTAGTTAAAAAATACTCGATGCAAAATTAGGATGGTTTAGTTGACTTGGTTAATCTCCATAAAATGACGAGCAATAAAGCAATTGTAGTCCGAAGGGTCATAAAGTACCAAAACACTACTAAAATGATCAACTAGTGAACGATCTTAACGAAATAATTTTTAAAGATCATATTTCATCAATGATCATCCAGCGGTCATTTCATTCATGAAGAAAACCTAAGGAGTTACACTGCATTTCATCTATACTTGTGAGTTTTGTTTTCTTGAATTACAACTGATGACTGAGGCACTGAAAAAGGGAATTTCTTGCACGACTTCCCCTTGGTGAAGTGGAAAAGAGCAAAAACTACAAAGGGAGTAGGATGAAAGCAACCTGTTTTATTTTAGCGGTATCTTGTCAACTGCTTACAACCCACAATATCAAAATATGTAGTTTTGCTGAAAATTTAACATACTTTAATTCCCAGAAAGAAAGTAGAATGTCGATTCATCGTTAAAACCGTCAGGAATAATCAGTCATATCGACAAATTCGAGGAAGGTTAGTAAATGGCTACAAATTGTCACAAATATATGCAATTCAGCGGAAGCCTCTTGAATAAAAAGAACATCAGGAGTTGCAATAAAAATAGAAGGACTTAGGATTATAGGTTTACGTCACTAGACCAAGCAGTTAGTAAGTTATCAAGTAAAACATGCAAAATACTGTGGGTTAAGCTCAGTTTGTTGAAAATATTCTACATGAGCAAAGGATGATACAGTTAAAAAGAGTGAAAGAATATCTATCTAGATTTGATGAAGGATGAAGTAATTAAATAATAGTCAGGGAGAACACCCGAAGTGGACACAAAAATTCAGGTTCGAGGCGTTTGACGGCTTTGGCCTCAACAAAATCCAGAAGAATTGAGACTATTCTTTTTTTATTTTCAAGAGGAGAATGACGAATTCTACCTGATGACCAGTATCAATCAGATGCTGAGTAATTGTGCTGTGCAGAGAGTTACTTCTGATTAGTCGTAGGCTCTTTGGACTACGCCTCTCTTTCTCTTCTTCCGATGTATCTGCCCTGGCAGCTACACATCAGTCGATATATACAATTTGAGGCAACATGGTAAGGATACCTGATGACTTTTGACTGGACTAAGTAGCACATTATTTGGTGCACATGTATTAACCTGGCTGCAGGTAAAGTTCAAACCAGTGATTTCTTCAATCTTCCATTTGCAGTTCCTGTAGTTTCAACATCTTTTTTTATTGAGGTCAATGAACGAAGGCTTTCCTGAGGTTGTAGTTTTCTTTGACTTTTTGTCTTCTGTTCTTCAATAACTTTCGACAAATATTTGTGGATATTCATTGTCACTTCAACACTAAATATACCAGGATGTTTCTATCTAAGTTTGAGTTTACGTTGACACTAGCGAATATGATTCTTTTCTCACAATTAACGTAGTAAATTCATTTCAAACTCTGCATAAACGCTGATATACTGACATTAATGTTTGTGCTATAGGTAATAATAATACTGTACAACTTCCCAGCATTTATGCCTAGATTTTAAGAATAGTAGTGTGGGATTTGGTTACTCATTTTTTTCAATCCCGTGATTATTATTTATTTAGAGAAAATTAAGAATTCACTCCTTATAAAAACACTCTACGTAAAATATTAGGCTTTTAGGTAGATAAACACACATAAGTGATCACATTTCTTTCGGGAGGTTTGACTAACGATAACATGTAGATTGCATCTCTTTCAAATGTGATCCTTTAGTGTGAGTTAATTTCTTTTGACTCCTAATTGACGCAACTGTTTCCACCCTTTAGCCAGCTTTCTGTATTTCTAGCGAAGATTCAAAAATCTATGCTTTCTAAATAACCCACTTCATATCCTTTATCTTTCTGTTATGAACACTTATCTACAGGTATTCACACTACAAGGTCAATTTCTTACACATTTCGGCGAGTATGGATACCATCCTGGTCAACTTATGCGACCGGTCGATGTGGCAGAAACAATCAATGGAAACTATTTAGTTTCAGACTATGATTTGCACTGTGTCACAGTGTACAACACACATGGACAGTATATGTCTAGATTTGGTCAGCGTTATCTTTCTGGTCCAAAGGGCATGGTTGTGGACAGTCGTGGACGTATTGTTGTAGTCGATCAAAAGTCATGCATGATATGTATTTTCAAACCAACTGGAAAGTTTATCAACCGTTTTGGTGCACGTGGTCTAGCTGACAACCATTTTGGTAATCCAATGTTTATAGCTGTCAATTCACAGGATGAAATATTCGTCTCAGATCATGCACATCATTCTATTAAAGTATTCGATATCAACGGATTGTTCCTGTACAAATTTGGAGTTAATGGAATTGATCCAGGTATGATACATGCCCCAACTGGTATTGGCTTCGATCGATTTGACTATCTTTATGTTAGTGATTGGGGTAACAATCGAATACAGGTTAGTTAAGTTTTTTTTATCTAGCCTAAATAGAAATATCTAGAACTGTTTCATCTGAATAAATTGACATAGTGTAAATGGCCATAAATTTTCAAACATCTTAACTGTTAACTAAGAAGTTCATAGGTTGCATTTTAAAAGTAAAGGGAAACCTATATTTGGTGCTCTCCAATTTTCGATATTCCTTCTCCATACAGCAGTTTGTGATGAAGCCACTTTTTTATACGAGAGAGAGAAATCCAATTTACGGAATATCACAGTGATAATAAGTAAGTTAAACGGATTGTTTCGGAGCAAATGTTCAACGTCTATATCAAGAGACCTAACGGCGAGTATAACAGTATATTGTGTGAGGTGTTCAAACAAATGTATAAGTGTAAGATTTTCGATTTTACTCAGTAGTCATGAAAAGTTCTAGTAAGGTAGTTCGAACCTAAGAAAAGCTTACTGAGCTCCATCTATAGTATATTTCTTGGAAACTTTAATGTTGCTGCATTATCCAGATAATTCTGCTTTGGGTAAATCATTGAATTCTTTAAAAAGTATGTGGAAGAAAACCAGGCACTCGGATTAGACTGCTGCATAACCAACCTTCTATTGATGATACTGTTTATCCGACCTTAAGGAATACATTTCTACCAACCGAATTAGGTTCTGAAAACTTTTCCATCAAATCGTGCTCCATTTATTTGTAAAAATCAATGATCATATTTTCCTACTTTATATCAAAATTTGCATAATCAAGGAAAAATGTTCCGCTAGTGAACTTAAGACTATACTCAGATTTCCTGGTATGGCAGGCTTCATGCGCAAGGTTGCATTTACTTCAATGAAAATGGACGCTTAAGAATAAAGTAACCTTTTACTTGTTTGTACTTCTTCAACTACTAAAATGAACCATTACCAGTTACATTCGCTGAACTACTTGTTTTAATTTGAAGTTTTCGTTGATTGTACGTTAGATAAGTATTTTTGAAGTACATTCTTATAGTAAACCAATATTTAAATGACTTTTATGCGCTTCAAAGAAATGGTTGGCAGAGATGCAGCGCGTTGGCTATACAGCCACCCGCATTTTCCGTAAACAGTGATGAACCGTTAGGTGGCGCTAAGAGATCTGTTACTAAAGTAACTGCTTACTGTTCTATGCATTAACCTGTAATGGCTTCATGAAAAAATGTTATGTTCTAGATTGCAGTGTTAATACAACTACGTTTTAACTTAAGCCTATTTATAACCATCATTAAATTATTTTAAGTTGTTGTTTGCAGGCTACATGTGCCAGAGTTGAGACTTTATTTGCCCATCAGATGAGTTATGTGTTCTGAGTAAAAGAAATACAGCCTTGATATAAAATTCAAAGCGATTTACTTAACAGTATTTATCAGTTTTGGACATATTGAACGGACTGCCAAACAATTGTTTGATTGTAATAGATACATCTGGAGTGCACGCTTTTAAAACTTTCTGTCTCAATGAAAAACTTTACAATGAGGAACTAGTGCATGTTAATCTGATAAATGGACCACTATATCTTAAGCGGAATAGTTGCCTGCCAATATTATATTAACCAGCTGTTTCATATCATTCCTTAACTGTTTTCACGGTGCATATTGCAAGCTTTGCTAACACTGGTCTTCCTCCACGTACTGGACTTCTGTGCGCCACTAGGTACTCATCGAGGAAGTTTTTGAGCTGGTATTATTTCGCCTAGATATGCTTTTCTGTGAAAAACAAAATATAATGAATGTGGTTATATATTTATCCATATCCCTGTATATTGTAACAGCTAATCCATTAAAAATCTTAGTAGCACATTTTGTCAATGCCTCTGTCGTGAACGGGAACATGAAGATATGTTAAGTTCATACTTTTCTCAGTGATTCCACAGAAAACTTTATTTTCAACGCTGTCAGTGGTTTAAAAGACCTTGTGTTTGTTTTCATGAAAACACTGAAGTTTACACTCACATAAATATTCCTGAATAATGTAGTCTGTTCGAGATATGAGAATTGTCACCCACAGTAGAAGAACAATGAACCTTTTATAATGGATGATGGATAGACGATACACGAATTAAAATACACAATAGCTGTACCAAATCCGTCGTTACTTGACCAACTTATGAGGCTAGGATTATACTGTCTATTCTTTAGAAAATGAAATCAGCAGAAATCAGATGATTATTTAATTCTAATAGATGATGAAAGATGTAGGTTACCTCAATCATGTAATGTATCTGCACAATACAAGCGTGTTATGGGCCTTAACACTAAAACGCTTTGTTATCCTAGGGTTAACGTATGAAAAGGAAGCAAATGAGATGGAAACGTTTCAGGTGTGATTACTATAGAAATCGACAAAAGGAAAATATCAATACATTTACCCTAATTTGGAAGCTGAATAAACACTTATAGTTTAACAAAAAGCAATTCATCTTCAAAAGCTGTATTTTGAAAAATATTTTTGGACATAGAGCTGAATAAAGCTTCTTCTTGCATTCAGTGCGCCTAGCGATATCTGTTGTCGAGTAAATTGGGGACACTGAAACTACGTTTAATCGTATAGCTGAATATTTATATGAAGATAATTAAAATTAAAGGTTTATTCTTTATGGATTCGGACATTTTGTAACTTGACTATTAGCGGTAAACAAACTATTAAAACCAGTCTACACAAGTCAAGGCACTATCTGAATACGATCAATGTGCTATGAGTAAGAGTGTGAACCGCACGGATATACATATAAATGTGGATTCAGAACAAGAATATTGGTTCATGGAAATGTTCCCCATAATTACTGATTTTTAACCAGCTTTTTATGATGTTCCTGACTACTGGCTTTTATCAATATGGATTCTCTTATAACAATGTGTACAAATCAATTGGAGTAATACTGATTTAAAATAATGTCTAGTTTGATGCTGGTATCTTATAAAAGATGGTTCTGATTTTGTGCGCTTCGTAATTTTCACTTCAAATTTCAATAATTTGTCGTCTGCTGTAACCAATAAATAATCTGAAAAGTACTTACGTGACTAAGCCATAGACATGTTTTATTATATTTTCTTCATATTTCTCTTATAACTCTAACAATTAATTAATAATTTTCTATTTCAGGTATTTGACCAAAGTGGCAACTATATACGCATGGTTGACAGTAAACTAGAGTCCTTAAGTGGTCCTCAAGGTTTAGTACTGCACCAGCTGTCAAACAAACTTTTAGTCGTGGATCCAGGCAATTATTGTTTCAAAGTGTTTAATGCCCATTCTACAGAAGATCAAAGTCACTGATTATGGTGAGGCAAATGAGACATTCATAACATACAAGAAATAATGAATACTCATGACAGCATATACTTTTATGGTGACTGAAGTGTTAGTGCATCTTTCTTCCATTCTTTTTTCGGTATTCTTCATCCACTCTACAAACAACCTAACTAAATCCCTCTGTTTGTACAAATTATTTTTGATGAATTCTCATTAGAGATTGTGAATTTTCATAATAGTGTTATTCATGATAAAAATTGGAGTGGTTTAACTTCAAATCTGTTTACGGCCGCATTCTCAAGTAAACAAGATTAGATGATTCTCATCGAGTCATATATATTTTGAGTAACTGAATTTGACAGACAAACTGTGGTGTACCACATTATTCGTTTCGAAGCGAAATGCACCCAGATCATTTGTAAATGCTTAATGGAAGTGTAAAAATTAAATTCATTTGGAACAAGTTTCTAGTTTTTCCAAATTACAGTATTACACCTAAGCTTGATGTGACTGACATAATGAAGTTCTGAGAAGACCCATCCCCGAAACAGTTTAAACTACATGGTACTAAACGGACAAATCAACAGCAAAACAGAATCTTCTTTCAAAAGACACATATAATTTTAAAAAGTATTATTCAGCAGACACAATTATTGAAAAGGGACTGAAATAGCCGACTGAAGTTTTGGAAGAACTGGTATATACGAGGAGATACTTCCATCCCATTGAGCGCTAGCATGATAAATTTGTATTATTTCCTGTATTATCAGCTGACAGATTCGTCAAGGGAATAATTAAATTCAATTTCTGAATGCAGAAAATCACTGGCCGAACGCTACTCTATTGGTCCCAAGACACTTACCCAGCCTTATTCAGTTCCCCTTTAAACAATGGATCAACATCTACTTTTTGAGTCGCTTAAGTAAATATATAATGTACCGGTTTCAACTCCCTAAATATCTTTCATTATTTTAGTTCTCGATTCAACTTGTATCCACCTAACACAGAAGAAAACCTACCACAACCTACTGATGATGCCATGGGAAATGGGATGTGATTTATCTGAAGAGACAACTGTATATATTCTCTTTGTTCTTGTCATGATTAGCATCCATTCATTGTGCTGACCGACATGACGTTAAAAAGTTACCAGACACATCTCAAAACAATGGCTAGGGCTAGTTATCGAATTCCAGTCAATAAAACAAATACTTACGAAAGAATAACTGAATTATTATTGACTAATCTTTGAGCAGTAGGAAAACAACAGTCTTCGTAAGACATGGTTCACTTTGAAGCACTCTGACTTTTCTGCTTCTCGAAGAACTAAAATCGAAAATAAGTCAAGCTGCAGTCTTTTTTGTTTCAGCATGCAATAAGTTATACATTCGTTGTTTTCTCTTTGACATATATTTCAAATGAGACATAGAAGAAGAACCTCAGTGGAAAAAGTTTCTTTCCGATGATATCACTAAGAAGCTTGACAATTACACCTAAACATAGTTAATGTAAACACCCATTAGTGAAAACGTCAACATTTATCAGACTCTAATTCTCCATAAATTGTGGCCGCGAAAATAGTTTCAAAATTTAAGTTACGTAAAGTAAATTACAAAAATATTTGACGAAAAAATAGTCAAGGTTTCTTTGCCAAAAAATAAAATTTGTTTTCTGGAAAGCTGGACTGAGCATTAAAAATATCCTAAATAGTACTGAAGATCACAGTCCTTCAAAACTTACAAACACTGGAAGACCGTACAATAAATCAGATCGACAGAATTCTTTCTCATCTGTTTGAATAAGACAGAAACATGGTGAAAAAAATCACACGTTGCACAATCGCTCAGTTAAGGGGCGACAAAAACTGTATTACTTGGATTATGGTCTACTGGTATAGTGAAGCTTACAATAGACTTACAAAAAGACTGAAGTTGGTCGACATTACAGCTATTTTCAGGCTTCACTGGATATATGTTTCTTTAAATTTCTCTTCTGCGAAGTCATCTCCAAATCAACTTCAAATTTTAAACCTGGTCCTGAAATACCTTTGTAAATGGAAACAGAACAAGCTCCACATGCAGGTTCATTTCGAGTGCCTTACTCTTTCAAAGAATCAGTAACTGCTTCCACTGTAGAACATCGAGAACACTTCAAATCCACATAGCTTGTTTGCTTTTATGACTTACCGAATACCCATTTAAAAACGATTTAATCATCTAACTGAAGATCATGTCAACTTACTCGAAGAAATGAAGAGCAATACAGAAGATATGATGTCATCCTATTTTAATAAAGGTGCTAGTACACCCATTATAGACAGAACACATTATATTGACTAAGGTTCTCTTCGATGAAAGCAGGTTCTCCAAGTCAAGAGATGATAGGAACAGGACACAGATAAAGGAAATTCCAGTGGCTGAAATTCTGAAAAGAATGAAAAATGAATGGACTATCAGTCCTGGGCTACGTGAAACATTAAGACCTTCTAGATTGAATATCCTTCAACTATGCAAAGTGCCTAGAACCCGTAAGCAAGATTTTCTATCCTGTCAACTTCCGGATATGTCTGGCTCGTCTTATAATTTGATCGCCAAACGGTTATTTCAACTTCTAGATATAATTAGAAGGTAACGTTATGACTATTCTCTACGTATTAAATTCAAGTTTGTCAATTCCAAACGTAATAATAATGTTTTGGACTATGCTGCGTAGCCATCCACTATTTCTTCACTCTTCACAAATGTTTTGCCATTTGAAAGTTTGTTTCTCATGTGAATAAAGTGAGTCGAATACTACTAACATCGGTATACTGACAAAAGATCTGAATGAAGCATTATTAAGATGCAGCTTTAATATGCCCTTCAGCAATAATAATGCCATCTAACGTTATAAAAAGCTGGTAGCAGTGGATATCACAAGAAGTCCATCATTAGCAGGTATTTTAACTTCCAAACTGAAAGCAACTATCTGCAATCTAGTTATGAAGCAGTTTACATTCTAATAATAACAATAATATAATACCGCTGATAGGTTTATTCTAATTAATATGTTTGATAGTGTGAATTTCTCAGCATGTAATATTTTAACAAGTTCACTCCCAAAACAATATTCCCCAAGAAAGTCATTATTGCATCTGAATGTTGTTTATCATAAAACAGCATTAAGTGCAACAGTGTGAAGCAGCTCATCAGTGTTCGATTAGCGTCCAGTGTTCAGTATTGAAGGCTTATTCAACAAGTAGGACGTCCAATTCGAGACTGATATCGGAATTGGGAAAATATAATATACTTTTGTGCATTCAAAAGTCCATTTCCGTCCAACATAACATGTTTCCTTCGTTTTGTTATTAATTCGAAAAACGGTTAGCTCAGAACATCTTTAAAACCAAAAGAGTACTTGTTACGAGCCAAGGACATAATTGAAAGATTAAAACAACTTGGAAAAATTTGATATAATATGTCCGGTGAAAAATCTTATTGGAAGCCCGAACTTCAAGCAGTCTACCATATCGACGATATGTTCAAGATACATTTACCTTTTGTGATAAGAATTTTGACTTTCAGAAAGTAATGTAGTTTTTCAATTAATGTTACTCATTGATCAAGTCTTCAATAACAGTGAAATTGACCTCAAATATACTATTCGTTGACGTACTACCAATAGGTAAAATGAGAGGGCGCTTTAAAGACTCATTTACTGAAAATCTACAAGAAGCGGACAAAAGACGAATCTTCACAGCCAGCTTACCACCAGCGATAAAAGACTTCATCTATTTCATTTACCCCGAAATCCAAAGGTCTTGTACTTCTGTTCAAGAAACGAAATACAACTTCCAGGGCCAGCATTCATGGTAATTAGATTCCCGTAGGAATTCGTGGATATATCAATGTGGAAGAAAAACTACTTTTGAATTTTGAACTCACTGGTGATACAGCATATGAGGTATGAAAATGAAAACTAACGGCTTGTCAGAAGAAGCTTTTATGTGACTTTTTCTGCGAATTCGCTAATCAAGTCGCTCTGTGGTGAACTGATGTTTGTAAGAAAAACTCTCACTGCTAGCCACTTCCATTCTCACATACCAAATCAGGTGCTCCTTCGGGGTTATGTACACTGGTCTTACACAGAAATAAATTTTTCGACGTCGAACGCCAACATCTTCCAGCATGACTCAGCAGAGGTAAGTGCAGACTAATCAATAGCTTAATATCACAGCATTTAGTTAATAGTGAGCACAGTCCCATGATATTTGTTTGGAGTTATTTATAAAGTACACAGTGGACTTCCGAAGTATTTTAGGCAAATCTTACTTTGCATGGTTGAGTCTGTGTCAAAATAGATGGTTGTTACCAGTGGCTTGCTCTGTTCCATAAATATGTGAGAGTTTTGCACAAATTTGCTTGTGTTATCTGCTGAGGTATTACAACTCATAGACCAAATTTTTCTTAGTTGGACAGACTCAAAGGATTACACGGAACCGCTCAAGGCCGACAAAAATCTAGACATGCACTGAAGATAGATGGATACCTATTTCTATATTTTTTTGATGTAGGAATGTTAAAAACGGATGGACTTTTTCAGTTCATCTTTTTTTAACAATTACCATCCCAAGAAAAAACAGTTGCGAATTATTTGAAACAGCAATGAACAGTAGAAGTGGAAAGATGAATAGTACAGTTCGTAAAGTTGGACTGTGCGCGGAAAAAATCGTTAAGGAAATCTAATGAACTTACAGAATACTTTTAGACTGGATTTCCGTGTTATGCCTCTGAGTAACAAGTATGCTTTAACTACTTTCAAAGTCATCCATTTTGAATCATCTAAATAAATCAGGCTAGAAACATAATGAAAGCAGAATTTACTAAACTTGTAACTGTTGGTAAGAATCATCGCCTAAGTACTCCCAAGGTATGATAATGCATGTCACATATCGAAACGATCGAACCCGGATGAGCACGGTGACAACAGACAGCTATATATTCAGACGAACTGCTTATTTTCAAATGAAAAAATGACACGTCAACCACAAAAAGTGATTAGATATAAAATATGTATGGATGAATATGACAAATAAAATTTACATAGGTTCGGTAAAAATGATTAAGCACTCCGTTAGTGTGACAATAATACTGATGTATCTTTCCACTGGTCTTGAAAGAACTATTGCTAAATAAGTGAGCCGAAAGAAGAATGAACAAATGGAGTAATCCGGCAACCAGTTTTATGATATTGACGAGGAGTTCAATATTCTATTTCATTCAGTAACATTCCGATTAGCTAATCAAGAAGAAGCAACTTCTACTACGGTTAGCTATTTTTTCAGTTGTTGGAAGTGTAGTTGCTGAAAGTAATCTGATTCTGTTTATTCATAGGTGAAACAAGTTTATGGAAAATTTAGCTATAGGCTTATAGTTTAGATTGTTATCGACACATCTTAATTTGGTGCTTTTAATAAAATCCCATTATTAGTTAGAAGTGAACATCCACTTTGTGTAAATCAGTTTATCTGACGTATGCTCAATTTCTCTTACATGTTTGGCTGTGGTGGCGAGTGGTTTAAGTTTGAAGTTTGGAGGCGAAGCTCTCTAGGAGATCCAGGTGTATTTTGTTAAGGAACGTCAAAAAAACTTGCTCAGTTTCCTGTTGGATGCATCAGGATGCATATAGTTAAGGAGGAAAGTAAGTCCATTCCTGGATTTTAGTTTTCCCATTTTGTGTTTTTGTAACCAGCTAAAGAACGATTTTCAACAAAACTATTGCAAGTAGATTTTATAAATGCTTATTTCTGTCATCGACATAAAATCAGTATCACTCTCCAGTCGCACTGTAATTGCCTGTATTTAGACCATCGATTTGCTCAACACCACTGAGCGTACCACAGTTATAATTTTTGAAATTACTTTTTTCCCGAATAAACAGGCCATATTGACAACAAATGAATAAGACTAAACTGGT